AGCCTCCAGAGTTAGAGTGTGTTGAGAATTGCAGAGCACACCTGGAGCTGTCACTCCGCAGGAAAAGAGGATCCAGGCATACGAGGCCTGCGCCCATTTCAGCTGCCTGGGCTGCTCCCTGCTGCCTTGGTGTATGGTGCCGTCCAGCGCGTTTAGCAGTTGCTGGTTGTTGGCCAGGAGGGGGACGGCGACGAGGCCACATGAGCAGCCGAGCAGCATGGACGACCGCAATATCGAGGGATGTATCACTGTCTGTTTGATTTCGCTCTAGCACCTGGCGGCACAGGGAAGAGGTGATAAGCGACGAAAGAAGCCGAGACCAACCCACTACATCATTTGTGTCGATGCGTCTGGTACTGAGAGATGTTCATTTTTTGGGCCGCAGTATGTTTGCTGAGCATTTGCAGCTTGATCTGTCATGTTGCGATTCTCTCAACGATTCTCAGTTTGTGAAGTCTTGTTGTGCTGGGTGGAGACCAGTCGAAGCCTTTGGGAGGACGGACCTGTCCACGTTACTTGGGTTTTCATCCGAGCACACGCTTGAGTCTTGCATCCCCGCGTTCTTCTTCAATGACACTGGTGTGGGGGTGTGGGCTTCTTGCCGCTGCATTTCGTCAAGAGGGTCATTCGTTTGTATGCTCGGCACGACACTGCATACATCGCTCCGCAGTAGTTTTACGTGCGACTGTGTTAGTATCCTAGGCGGCGAGAGACGCATGGGGTTGGCGGGGGTTGGGGGCGGCAGAAGCGGGGGGACTTTGTCGACAGGAAGGGCGTGAGCCAGTTGAACGACCGTTGCATCTTGCATAAGGTCTGGATCCATGATGCTGGATGATTGCTCCTCGGCGACCGGTCCTGTGCTCAGTTCCTTTGTGTGAAATCATGCAGAAGGTCGATACGAATGTTATGAGTTTTGCTGAGTTTCGGGTGAAGTTTCGGAGCATGGCCCGGGACCACGACATGGTCGGGTCAGTTGAGGCCCAGGTCTGCAAGAATCAGACTGAAACTGCCCGCATCCCCCGGAACTGACAAACCCGCGTGCTGAAACTGAACCCCGCTGCGCCGAAGCTGGGCGCCAAAGCTATCTTTCTGTGATCCGAAACCTCCGGCAACCGATCCGAAACTAGAACCGCGAAACTATGGGCACCCCTGTCATCAAATATAGTGGTGTGAGTAGTGCCTGTCTGCCAAATCGAGCTTTTCAGTGCAGGTATAGGCTTACAACTCAAGCACGCAGGAGAGACCGTGACGCGGCTAGACGCGGTCATGGAGCAGATGCTTGGCGGCTATGAACCCTTTTCAGATGGCAGGAAGGCTCCAACAGGTTTCCATCAAGGAAAAAGAATAGATGACGGGATCGATTTGAACGGCGGGTTGACGATCCTGCTCGAGTCACTGGCGCAATCGCAGGAACAGGGTAGATGTTTGCATGCGGAGATGATTTGGACGCAATCGAGAGATGAGGTGCAGAAGCTTCATGAAGGAGTCCAGCCTCAACAGCTGCTGGGATGAAGCATTCCGGCTCCGAGAGCCAAGCCTTAGATTCGTAAATGTTTGACCTGCTGATTATCCTTCACTTGGCTGGATGATCTGCAGTTTCGGCTTGCAGATGCTACCAGCTACGCCCCGAGGCGACGACGTGTACTCATTCCTCACTTTCAATGAGGAATACGAGATGCACTTCACAGGCGGCCTGATCGCTGGAGAGTCTGTCTCTTCGGAGAGTTACACATAGCCCATAGCCTGGACAGGCCTGCCTATGCAGGAGGCCCAAGTTCGCTTGCGAAACAGCAAGCCCAAGGCAGGGAGCGCGCCGCTCAATAATCATGCAGTGCCAAGTTTCGTTCCGTGTTGCGGGACCGGATTCAGCTGTTCTCCCAGCTCTAGCATGAAGTCGAAAGATGTTCGGCGCTGTTGAGACGTCACGAACCCAGCCGCAACACCGGGAGGCGGAGAAGCAAACTCTGTATTCGCAAGGCGCCCGTGAGAGTCCCTGGTTCCCAGAGGTTAAAAGAAAGGGAAAGGGCACATTTCGCTTCAACTGGACGCGGCTGGACGTACCGGGGTCCGTGGTCAGTGGTCAAGTATGTGCTGGTCACGTGCAGGCCTGGAGGGTGTGCGGCGTGCCATCAAACAAGAGAGCAGTGGCAAGCCTGCACTGGCTTCTTGGCAGCAATCATGAGTTTGCTCCCTGGTGTGCCGAAGTATCAGCCCGTATACCGTCTTCCATTTTTGCCCGACTCACTGCAGGTCATTTTCTTCTCGGACGGAGAGCCGACAGATGATGGTGCTTTTATGCAGGCACTCTGTGATGTGCAGCAATCATTGCCGCGAAAACGAGCATGCATTTTGAAAAGTCCGATGGCAGGTTCTCAACAAGATTAAGAACAAGTTCGACAGCTGGGGTCTAAGGGGCTCTCTGTGGTCTTTGGTCAGTTGAAGCCAGGAGTCCGGGAGTGTGTGTTTACAGGTGCTGCATACGTGGATCGCATAGGATAGAATTCAAGCCCCATGCAACACTATACCCGCGATTTGTGTTTCCTTCCAAACTCAATTTGTGCCGCTGTATATTTTCTTTCGGCTGCAAGTGCCTTCAGTACCTTCGGAACTCTGTCTGGGCCTCTTGCACCACAATTGCACCGGTCTGTTGGCTCCTCGGCATGCACACTCGCAAGCATACAGCGGTTCTTGGCTTAGGTGAAATTGCGTTAGCGGCCTCCCAGCCGTGGATCTTGCACAACACACGCGTGCCACGAATGTTCGACGGAACCGTTGTGCCAGCCAAAGACGAAGCACGCTCAGACATTGATGTCCGCTCCGAATCTGAACAGAAGACGGTTTCACAATGTTTCACAACTTGATGCATAGACTTAGATCTCCGGCGTAGTTCTGATTTTGAATGCTTGGTTCAACATCGAGGCACTCTTCTCTGGGTGAAGAAGGGATCGATGGATCGATTGATGGAGTCCTTGATAACCGCCTGTGATTCGAGCGATTTTGCCGATCGATCAGTTCCAAGATGACCGCAGTTGAAGCGACCAAGCCAGCCAAACGAACAAACCGCGAGGGTCTCAGGTTGCAGGCCAAAAACATCATCAGTGCCACCGTCTGCAGCTTTCACGACATGTTCTCGACCAACTTCTGCCCTGTCCGTAATCTCTCTGCATGTGCGTGGCCTTGCTGATTTGCAGACTTTGCGTCACAAAACATAGTAACACAAAACCTTGCCCAACAAATCCAGCAATTCAGAGGTTAGCACGGGGCTGTGCGTCCCATCATAATTAAGATAGCACGGTCACCGCGGAAATGACACGGCACCGCGCGTGCTCAGCAATCTTCGGGCAAGGTCAAGCAGGCAAGAGGATCCTGCTTGCGGAAAACCGCACAAATCCAAACCATGCAAGCCCTTACTTAGTCCTTGCCTTGTGTCCCAATTTTGTTTTCCAACAACTGCTGTTCCGATCTTGGACTGCGAGGTCTCGGCATGAAGTTCTACACGGCGGGCTGTGGGAAGGCCCTCTTCATTTCATGATGGCGTTGCCCACAGCTCGTTCCAAGTCTTCGTTCAGGGTGGCCCGGCATCCGGAGGTTTGTTGAGCTGTACACATGTCCTTCCAGCAACATCCCACATCCTGTGGCAAGATGGCTTGTGCTGGTGTCGAGTGTGCGTGGGCTGGAGCTTGCAGGTAGATCCCAGTGTTTCGATTGTGCGTACTTCAGCCCAGCCTTCTTGAGAAGAAGAGAGAGGCACAGACACAGAGCCTTTCTCACCAGTTAGCATGTTTCAGGCCGACAAAACTAATCAAACTAGGAGCTTGCGCTCGGGGCCACAAGAACGAATGAAGGAAAGACACTCCCTCGTGGCTCTGTCGGCACGACAGGGCGAGAAGTTCGAGCACCTTCAGCAGATGGCAAACATCAGTGTCTTGCTCAGTGCAGTCCTGGTGCCTTCTTGTAGCTAGGGGTAGCTGATCCAGCTGCTTGACAGGGCTGCTTTTGTGTGGCCTTCTTAGCATCTAACCTGTGTCTGATCGTGCTCGGAAGACTTTTTCAGAATCATGAGGGCGAGGGTTCACACATCGGAATGGTTATGCGGGATTGTTTGGTTTCCTTGCAGGCAGGGCACTCCTGCGGCTCATGTGTCAAGCTCACGAAGACTTCGAACAGGCGGCGGTGCGTTCAACAACTGCGGCGTTTCGTCCAAGCCTAAGCTTCTACAGTGATTCTACAGGTTCATTGCATGTGCAGCACCGAAGACCCGCATCGCAAAACACAGAAAATCTTAGGACGACGTCTATCAGGAACGCTTTTTCAGTGGCGGCCTTGGACTGGAAGCGACGTGGCGGGCACTGCTTAAGCACCCCGTGCCGAGGCCATCTCATCGAGCATCAGCTGAGGCCTCGGAAAGGTTCGAAGATGTTCGAAGCCTCAAGCGTCAGTATAACCTCCAGTCGGAACACCACCTGAGTAGTGTGTAGGACCGGAACAGGACGACGGGCACGGCACTGTGTATCAATGGAGCTTACAAGTTCCGGTAAGGCCCAAAAAGCTTCTCGTTGCTGAGGCATCAGCCGCGAGAGCGAGCAGAAAAGCATAGAGTGCAGCACTCGGAGATGGATAATCCCAAGCTTTCGCAGATCTCGAGCCTCGCACGGTAAGAACGGCACTCGTGAAGTGAGTTTTGCATAGATCCAACTCGTACAAGGGATGTTGCAAGTTTGCAGTGTTAGGCCACCCGCGTCTGACAGCCCAGTAGTCCAGATGGATGCGAGTCCCGACGATGCGCGCTGCTTGCAGCCTGAGGTGCAAGGGTAGAAGCAACAGGCCTTGCATAGTAAAGACTGGAAGCCTTGACCTCAAGTCGGCACAGCATTGCAGAACAGAGAGGCTCAGGACATGCTGTGTAGTGGCTTGGCCTCTAGAACACAACAAGATTTAGGCCCACCGGTGTCTGTGTTGGAAAGAGCTGTGGTTCGGCCGCAGACCGCGCTGGCCTTGTGATGGGGGCTTGTCAATCTGGCCAAAGTAGTCTCTTGGTTTTCCAAGAGCCCTCAGAACCTGAACCACATTTTGAGTGCTTCGTTCGTTCTGACTTCAACCTCTGACGAGGCTATGCAAGCCCACATTCCAGAAGCAAGAGTGGTCGATTGGTTGGGAGAAACCTCTCAGCATTCGAGCGCTTGAGCTGGAAAGCAACTCCTTACGCTGCTTGCCTGATTTGCCAGAGACCCGAACAGCGTCAAGATAGCAGCCTGAAACATCCCTACCTTCGAAACAGGCGACCATCGCGCACTGGTTCCAGGTCCAGGGCCCGGCAACAGCACAAGATCTGGCTGAAGCCCTGAGCCTGGCACCTTGGTCGCTCGTACAGAGTCCTAGACCAAGGATGTGCAGCCTGGCAGAGTTTGGTAGAAGTTAGAAGACTGCCTGCAACAGGTCCATGATCACTTCGCAGCGCTTCAGGAAGCTTGGGGGATCCGCTTCGCAGACGTTTCTTCTTTTCGTAGTTCTAAAGGGCACAGTCTATCAGATCCCATGCAGCAAGCCCCAGCCCAAATGCGAGGCCATCATCCAAAACAAGCGCTTCTTCCTGCGGCCAGACCTCAAGCCGGAGATTGTGATCGACGAGGATTCCGCCTGTCAGAGACTGCCGTGCTGCTCCATTGCCTCCCCTCCCCGCTCACTCGTCTTACCAGTTTTTGTCAGCAGATCGAAATCGTGGTTGTGAGTGTTACGCCCATTTCGGGCATCAAGCAGGAACTTGTTCTCTTACTCGTGATATCATGTTCCTAAGTTCAGGTCACCAGTGAGCCTCGTATTGCTTGTGCAGACAATAGCATGCCCATTTGGGGCCAACAGGCATCCAAGGGACTCCAAGAAAGAGTGCCGTCACCTGTCATGGCGAGCCGTTGAACGAGCCAGACAGCTCTCCACACTGCGTCGGGCAGACCACGCTGACCGCTTTTGGGTCCTCGAAACCAAAAGGGACGGAACCGGTGCAGACAAGGAGGTGCAGACCACCTTGGCCGGCCGGCTATGCACTGTGTGGCCTGTGTTGGCTAGGCAGCCCTTGTGCGCTGTGCACAGAACGACTTACATGGCAAGGGTCCCATGCTACGGCATTGCGGACTCTGTGGAGCTGTGTGCATCGCGCTCGCGGCCGTGCAGCTCCGATCATGTCGTGGCACTGGAAGGCAAGATATACTGTTTTCGGTTCTCGCTGGGATCCGGTGCAAAGAAGGACTTGTATCGCAGCGAGATGGTAGTAGGACATGTACGGCTGGGGTTATCCTGGCCATTCCTGGCCAGAAGGAAATGGCGACAATCCTTCCTACTTCCTGGTCGCACCATGCCCCGCCCGCAAGCAAGTGTCCAAGCCCAACTTGCAGCACACTCGCGCTTCTACATTTTCGCCCGTTTGCGTGTATCTGCAGTTGTGTTCTCCGTGACAGCGGTGGGGATTACCGTAGTAGGATTTGATCATGTCAATCTTCGATCTCTTGACAAGGATTGAAAAAACTGCGGCGGCCCCAAGCCCTGAAAAGATCGATGCTTTTCAGGCCAGCAAAGAAACTTTATCTGCTTTCTGTCTGCACAGCGGACCCCTCCTAAAGGAATGGGCCCGTCCTCCAAGATTCAACCGAATTCTGCAAGCATCGCAGAAGACATCGAATCTGCGACAGGTGTCGCAAGATTCCGAATAGAATCACAGACTGGAGACCAATAAGCAAAAAGGTGCAGTCAGGGATGTCTGATTATTCGATTAGCTAATTAAAACCAGCTACGCCTGGAAGTGGTCGAACTGGTCGCGGCTGAAGTCCTGTCCCCAGAACCAATGTTCTAAATCACTTTGCGTGTGTCGCAATTCCAGGAGGCAGATGTGTCGCCTCAGTCCCTGGCAGCTCTGGGTGCCGAGGAGGCTTCGAATGGCATTGCTCCGACGTGGCAGGTCAATTGAAGCATCATGCGTGTTTTGTGCTCCGATTTTCTGCCCTACTGCATCAGAGATCATCTAGAAACCGCTTGTCTGACTCAGGAGTGCGAGGGCCGGCTGCTGTGGCGAGCAAGGGTCTTGCGTGAGGGCTGGCTTCTGCTGACCTTCCACCACGCCATCGTGGATGAGCGGAGCATTTGGATGCTGATGCGTGAGCTTGTCTCTATTCTGTCTGGCCGCCAGCGCTCATCTCCGAAAATTGCCTTGGATCTCCGTCTGTCGGAGCTTCTTGATCAACCGTCTTCACGGTTCACTAGACTCATGGAGCAACGGCAAGGCGGGCGCCTTCCGGGCAAGGCCGTAGGGCGGTTGGCAGATCTGGTGCCACTGGGGTCTCCTCGGCGAAAGCTTAAGCCCAGGGAGGGCAAGGAGTGGCCAAAGCCAGATGGCTTGGCGCCGTGGCAGTGTCGAAAGACACGCTCCCAGGTTGCCTCGGTCCCTATTGCCGGGAAGCTCCGGGCCATTTGCCGGGAGCGAAAGCTGACGGTCAACACCGCCTTGTTGGCCAGCCTGGCCATATCCCTGCGCAAGCAGATGACCGGGGATGGGAAGGTGGGCATGCGCCCCATCCTTGCCATTGATGCACGGATGCACGTTCCTGATGGCCACGATTTGTTCGGCTCTTACTCACTGGGTGCTCGATTTCGAAGCGGATGGGGAACATTGGACGTCGCCACAGACACGAACTTTTGGGATTTGGCTGCATGCGCCAAGAATGCTGTCGAGGATGCAGGGAAGAAGTTGGAAGCTCACAACATTTCTTGGTACATGCGTTTCCTAACTGCTGCCATGGGAAAGAAAGATGTCGCATGGCTGCAGGGTGCCCTGGACCTTGACGGCCCAGATCAGGGCCGGACGAATGCTTTTCTTGTCAGCAATGCTGGCATCCTGCCCGAGTTAGACTCTGGTGACTTCAAGGTTGTACAGTCGCACTTCGTATCGCATCAGGCCGCTTGGGGGCCCTTCGTGTGGTTGAACGTTATGACTCTGGAGGAGAACATGTTCCTTACCCTCTGCTACGTTGACCCCCTCTTATGTGATGAGAAGGTGGCTTGGCCGAACACTGTCTCAGCCTGATGGAGTAGGCCTTTAGGCTGTTCTGTCGAAAGGAACCTAAGCTTGCAGGCAGCAGACCTCCTGGCGCTGATCGCTTCAAGCCTGGAAGCAGCCTGTGCTCCCCTGGATGCGAGCAAGAAGATTTTGCAAAACACCTTGAGTGATCTGCCCATTCCGGAGGAATACAAGGAAGTCTGCGCATGAGGTGGAAGGGCTGCAGCGTGACTGCAGGCTTTCTGAAAGATCTTCCGCTGCATAGCAACAGCCATGTACAGCCAAAGAGAATCGGAGGATAGCGCGATGGCGCTGCCTGTGGAGGTTTGATCTGTGCCGAGTTTGCATGTCGTTGGCAAATGGTCAGTGAGGGCCATGCCAGAAAGCGTCTAATTCGCGCACTCTGTGGAGTTGAAGGCGGGCTGATACACTGTTCCCACCTTTGGCTCCGCGGAGTTGCCAGAAGTTCGATAGGTCCCGTGGTAGGCGGCTTAGGCAAGTTTTTGGAGCAGGATCTTCATGCCTGTGGCATTGGAGGATCTGGCTTACAGCAGGCTTTGCGATCGTGGTACGCGAGGTCTCAGGACCGCTAAGCTTGCGAGCACTGCGTCACGAGCCTCGTACAGATTGTCCGCATCTTCTTCTCCGGCGTTGAGGGGCAACTCCTCTGCCTCTGCGGCTCGCACTTGGGATGCGTAGAAAAATCGCAGGAACAGCAGAATCGCGTATGCGAGAACCCGTGCATCCCACACGCATGGTTGTCGGGTTGTGGAAGCACCCATTGTTTTGCTCGCGAAGGGGACCCTGCGACACTTTCGGAGTAGCAGGTAACCTTTGCAGTCATCCGCCTTTGTTCTCACGGGGTCACTCACCGTTTAGAGTTCATGCCGCCCAGGGACTGGAAGATGCCGAGCCCTCAGTTCCCTTGGACGGAGTTGTATCTTGCAGCAGTTGCTGTGCATTGTGAGAAGCAATTAATTTTCCTTTGTCTTGACTGCAGCGGACAAGCTGAACGCGAGCTTCGCCTCGCCTGTCGTACGAGAGCTGCATCAGTACATGGCTATTTTCTGACCTGTCGTGAGTTGTGGATGTCAGGAAAACAAGCTGTCGAGCCGGCGCCTGAAACTGTGGCCTGCGCACAAATCCGAGTACGGGAAATGACTAGTACTGACACTACGAGTCATGATTCCTTGCACAGACGTAAATCATTCGACATGATGCTTTAGAGAACACACTGTGCGCCAAATACTGCCTGGAGCTGTCACACTCTTCTGTGATTCAAAGCCACCAGAAACATTCTGGTCCGCAAAAGGCTACGGGCACGCTGGAGCAAATCCAGGTCCGGCGTGTCTTGTATTTTCGAGGAAGGCATGTGTCCCTTACTGTGTCACCACAGTTTGATCGGTGTCCTGTGCCACCGGCAGCCACCGCGAGGAAGATGCTCCACAGCCACGGCCCCAGGGATTGAGCGCAAGTGCCTTCGCGTGCTACTTTCATGACTTTCGGCAGTTGCCGTGCGATGAGGGTCAGACGGGAGCATTCGAATTCAAAAGAAATGTATACTTGCACCGGCTTATTCCAGAGGCTCTAACATGGAACCTTGGTCTCGTTCCGCAGTTTGTGCGCGTAGAACGAAATCGATGCCAGGAGCTACATCGACAAAATCAATTTTGAAGACCCCCGCCCTGCAGAGATCTACAAGGACTGGGTGGTGAAGACTGCAGTACCCCATGCTAAGCCTCACAGCTTGCAGAGCAAACGCCCGGAAGCCCATTAAGCTGGCATTCTGAGAGCTTCAGCCGGCCAGACGTGCGAGGACCCAGGCAACCTTCGCTGCTGGGACAAGATCTCGGCAACCCAGGCTGTTTACATCTTCGACGGCCGGCCACGCCCTCGGGACCTATATACGAGTCCTCAATCCTCGTGCCCACTTCATGTGCTCGTCCAGGCAGTTCTCCAGGAAAAGTTTTCTACCGGACATCGAGCTGTACTTGAGAAAGATGCCCTTTATGAAAGGCGCGCAAGTCAAGCACTTCTCATCTCTTTCTGAGTCTCATTTGAAGGCAAAGAAACTTCACCAGGTTTAGCTGGGGAGCATGTACCTACAGCAGCTTCGGGCATGGCTCTGTTCGACCTTCTGATGGGGTTGGGTTCAAGTCAGGCCTAAACCCTCCAAGTTGCTCAGGGGGATGCATTAATATCATAGGAATTTGGACCTAGAGGCTTCGCTGCAACCCACACCTTGAGATTGAGAGTTTAGGGCGTGGATGTGAGTCGTGGGCACTGGCACTTGGCTTGTGTGAAAATTGTGGAGTGGATGGAGTGGACGGCGCGGGTAGTGGGTGGTGTGGAAGTGGGGTTGGAGGAGGTGTGAGGAGGGGTGGTGGGGTGGAGGAGGCAGAAGGCAGGGGGTGGAGGGTGGGTGGAGGGTGGAGGTTTCAATGCGAGATGTCTAGGCCTGGTTTCTATGCCGCTTTCGGCGCGTACCGGCTTCCTAAGCTTCAGCACTGACAAATCAGAGAAAGGATTGCACTGAAGCCTGCCATTTTTGGACCACTTTTACGGAGGGGTGGAGGGTCAGTGGAGGGGAGGTGGGTGGAGGGGTGGAGCGTGTGGAGGGGTGGAGGGGGGTGGAGGGGTGGGGTGGATTTAAGGAGTGGAGGGGTGGAGTTTAGTTAGTATTTGAGCAGCACTTTGGCTCCGGGGGCTTGGCCGCCCTCCACTTATTTAAAGAACTTCACCGTAGTAGTAGTAATTCTCGTAATGACGACGACGACGAGGAAGAGCACGACGAGGACGACGACTGCCGCCACCACGACCAATTGCTCGCGGCACCTCTCCTAAAGACAACTACCGCAAGTTTCAAGACAGCACGGCGACTGCGCTGCTTGACAGCACACAGCAGCACGCCTTAGCTTATTGTTTACACTTGTGAAAGAACCGAAGCTCAACACCGCCCCCAACCCACAAGAGATCCGAAGCCACCCAGAAACCTTTCCAAGCATGAAAAGCAGCGAGCTCAATCCTAGAATTGCTGATGCCCGAAACGCCTAAAAGCGTTTAGTCCCTGCAGCGACCCTGAGAACGCCACAAACCCTATGTCATATTATGAGCAATTGGCAGCCCGGGGGTAGTACTAGTACGACTACTACTATTACTAGTATTGCTACTATTACGACGACGACGACTACTACGACCACGAAGACTGGAAAGGCAGCGGCTTGATGATCATGCTGCTTGATACTTACCTTGAAACGGTCATGGAACTCATGACTTATGCGTCAGAAGTCAATGGTGAGACATATCACATACCTTGCCTGGCGACTCGTTCAGCAATACAGGAGGCAAAGGAACTGCTGCTGCTGCTGCCGCCGCGGCTGCTGCTGCTGCTTCAGGGGCCGGGGAAATTGTTTGCGAGGCTGCTCCAGCTGCTGCTCCATGCTGCTCCTACTTGCTGCGTCTGCTCTTCGTTAATCACGACGCATACGGATGCTGCCACACAAGAGCCGAAACGACGAGTACTGGTACTGTTCTAGTTGATGCTGCTACTGTACTGCTTCACTCCTTCTTATCAGATTGTTACGTTTGTGGTTACTACTTCGACGACGTGGCCGACCCTCTTCGTATTCTTGACTGCGCGGGCTCAAGATTGTCGTGATGCTTGCAGAGCGCGAGCGCGTGTGGGTGTGTGTCTCTTTGTGTGAGTGTGGTAAACCATGCATGCCGCGTTGGTGATGTCAGCAGGTCTGTGTGCGGTGATTTGCCTGTACAGCACAAGAAGTTTGCAAACATTAGCTGTGGCAGGTGGTATGCCAGGGCCTTGGCGCGAAATTCTTGCTGCACATACATGTATATGTATGTATGTATGTATGTATGTATGTATGTATGTATCTGCTTGGCAGTTTCGCATTCCAGGTGTAGGGTTTGGGTCCTAGGTTGCCTAGGAACCTGGTTTGAGCTTGCCTTTCTGGTACATGCAACCCGAGAGTATGTTTGATCCACGCACCCGCCAGTCAAGCATGGTTCCTCCGTGGCATTACGTTTCCCCCCTCTCCAGAACATCCTGGGTTGACATGCAAGGGACTCCCAGGTTCCATAGGGTCCCGTCACATGATGTAGTACATCTCTGAGGCGAGTTGTCTACGGTATGACGGAGAAACAGGACAGGGTGCGGGTTGAGCAAGTGGTGCAACTTTTTGTAGCCCCGGCACGAGATTGATGTGGTTGATGATGTTCGAGGAGTCGTCCGCCCGGAGCACTAGTTTGCCACAGCATGCTCCATATTTTCAGTGCATTGCAGTTCCCATGTAACGATGGAGCATTTCGGCTGATAGGCAAGTGCAATCCCAAACGTAGGACCGATTCCGCACCCAAGACATGCGTGTCTCCATCCAGCTGGACGGGGCGAAGTCGGCCACTAGCCGTTCCCAGCGGTCTTCGAACCTGGAGCATACAGGAAGCAGCCTGAGGAAGTCGACATCATACCTTTCTCAGGGCACCACCCTCGCTGCTGGCACGGATGATGAGAGCATCAGTGTGGATTCCTCCACCGATCAGTCTTCCGCCGAATCCGATGACGGGGAGCCCGAAGAGGACGAGCTTGAACTCATCAGCATCTGGACATGGCAAACCATTGGCCTGCCGGTGAGTGGCTTCCTTCTTGCTTTCCTGAATGCTATTGCGTCTGGGGTTGTCTACGGGTTTTTCCTGGGGTACATGGGATTGGATTCATACGTCATGGCGTCGGTTGCGGCACTCATGAAACTTCCAGAAGTCTTCTTGTTTCCCTTGGGCATGATCAACGACTGCTTTCCCATCTTCGGCTACAATAGGAAGCCTTACTTGTTGGCATGTTGGTTGATCAGTGGCGGTGCACTTTTGGTCATGAGCCTGCGACATTTGCCAGCGCCCTACTACTGTCAGTACCCCGATGGCAGCTATGACTGGTATTCCCCCCCATGCAATCCGGACATCCACACCCACAAGAACTGGTACATTTTTCCTTTGTTTGTGCTCATCGCAGGTCTGCAGATTGGGAGTACGGCGGGTGAGGGGCTAGTCTTGCAGTACTCACGACGCGAACCAGCAGAGCGGCGCGGACACATCAAGGCAGAAATGACGATGGTTTGCACGGCCGGAGGGCTGACCTCCTCCCTCGTCATTGGGTTTCTCTTGAACGGAAAGGCGTACTTGGGTACCTTCGATTGGGGACTATCCTTCAGTGGCTTGATGGCAGTGTGCTTGGTGATGGTCATCATTGTCATCCCAGTCAGCTGGTTCTGCGTGCATGAGCCCCAAAAGACCACGCACCCAGCACTCGGTGGCCATGCCAAGTCCTCATGGAAACTTAATTGCACTAGGTCACCAGGCGTGGCATGCCGCCATGGAGGCCAGTTCGCTTTCCTCGTTTCGAAAGCCCCGACGCCCTGATCGAGCCAACCGCAAGGCCCTACCAAGATGCTCATCACCTGAAACCCTGCAACTCCAGGCCTACTAAAACCTACTAAACAAATTGAGGTTGCAAGCTTGTAAGCTCCAGTTGAGGACACTTGTCAAGAAGAACGCCTTGTCCAGCATCTTGATGTTTGCATTCGTCGTCCAGTTCCTTATCGGCACTGTAACAACGGCATCACCTATGGTCCAAAGCCAGTGGGCTGGAGTCAAAGTCCTGCAGCAACAGCTGTGTGGTTCAGCTGGCATGTTTGTGATGATGATCGCCACCTGGACGTACAAGGAATTCTTCCTCCAGGCAAGTTGGAGGAAAGCAATCCTCATTGCCATCTTGACAGTGTCAGTCTTGGATGCCGTCGCATCCTTCCTGACGATCTTCGGCGTTGTTCGGAATCAGTACTTCTACCTTGGCGAAGCTATCGTTGGTAACGTGCCTAAGGCTGCACTCGCATTGGTGGCGAACTTAATGATTATTGAGCTCTCGGAACGGGGACGCGAGGGTATGTGCTATGGCTTGATTGCGACACTTCAGAACGCGAGCATGCCTCTGGCCACGGTCGTCAGTAATCAGATCTACGGCCTCTTTCGCCCTAACTTGTCCGAGTTGGAAAACTACATGGCGGACACTCAGCAGTTCCGTTCGACTGTCGCTTGGTCTTACGTGCTCTCCTATGCAATGTCGCTCATGAGTCTTTTCTTCCTTCCCCTGATCCCGAAGCAGAAGGACGATGCCCGAAGGCGGAAAGAGGAGTGGAGCTCCAGTCCGGCTGCGGCTACCCTGGTTTTGGGCATTCCCGCCATCTGCCTCCTTTATGCGGTTACAGTGCTGCTGCTCACCAGTCAGCCGCAGACGGCATGCATGCATTGGGTCGGCGGTCCAGGCTGCGAAAGTTGATCGTCGAAGCCAAGCTTTGCCAAGTCTGCCGTCTACCCGGTACAGCTGTTGGGGCTGCAACTTTGAGGCTTTCCCTCTCTCAGACGAGGGTCATCCAGTGTCCCTGCGGGTGGAGCCCAGGACTACAGTGGCCACAGGCGTGGCAGTCAGCCGCTGTGAGGGTTCTTTTTGCCTGTCAAGCGGTTTTGTTGCTGACTTGCTCTGGCCTTCCAAGAGAGGGACCAGATGCCGTTTAATGAGTTTAATGACTTCGTGATGAAACCAATCTGAATTTGTTCCATACCTTACCTAGATGGACCGAGTGACCATGGGTCGTTGTGCTTTGCTCATGGAGCCACCACGGCTTTGGCGTTTGCTCTTTTGTAGCGCTCTCATCCGCCGCACTGCACCAACCGTGCGTGTGTGTTGTGCGGTTATGGTCTTCCCGCCAGCTCCCGGCCCAAGGCCACGAGACGGCCCAAATGTTACACGCTACAGACAGGCCTAAGGTCCTTAGTTCCGGTGCCAGTCACTGCTAGTCCCACAGATACGCCACCTGACCTGCAAAAGGATTCTTCGGCTTGGGGCCCTCAGCAGTTCCCATTTCGCAGTTTTGCAGGACCCGACCGCCAAGCAGGTGGCGAAGCGGCTCTTCCGGGACCATGTGGGGACCTCCGAGGTCGAGGCTCGGACATGGACAAACTCAAAGTGAAGAGGCCCAAGAGATATGTCAAGCTCGCGACTAGTGCAGGAAGGTTGGAGTTGTTTGTTCTTTCTGTCTCGCCAGATCATGGTTCCATTGCCCTCCATGCGCAATGACCCCAAACATGATCAGGAGCACCATGTGTTTGCCAAGCCGTTTTCTCAGAATCGAACGTTGGGATGCTGCTTTGACTCGACAGTTGCTGACTTAATTTGCAGGTTCAGGGGTCGGTTGCCGGGGCTCAAGGGGCATTGAGGATTTGCTTCTTTTCAAAAGAAGACCGACACATGGTCCAGAGTCCTGAGTGAATGCGTTGTTGCAACTCTCACGGCCCCATTAAGATGTCCAGTAAGTTCGGGCTGATCAGGTCGTCTGCCGTCGCAGCCTACTACGCACAAATGTCTTGCCCTGATCCGCGCCAGTGCAAGGGTGCAGCACACTCTGCAGCACTCACTAGGTTCTATGCTCTCAGCCCGTTCGTGACCTGCACAGCCCCAAACGTCTCAAGGCACTGCGCTATCCAAGGTTTCAGGTGGAGATGAACTCGAAGGGCTTGAGACCGAAGGCCAGCGCTCCCAAGAAGCTGTGCTGCAGAATAGCCCCGTAAGAAAAGCGCGCCAGCCGTAAATGATTACCTCGGCTGAGGATCCTTCTGTCTGAAAATGCAGGTCGATTTCAAGTTCAGCGAGGTTGGGGTGTACAGCAAGCACCTTGCGAACCCCAAAGTTGACGAGAACCCTGGCTGCACAGGGTCTGGCACGGGCATACCAGTTACTCGTGCCTCTCGCGGGTAACTCGTGCCCATGTACACGCTTGACATCTTAGCATGGCCACTGCATGGGCTGCAGGGCCACTGACTGGTGTCCTCACCTTGTGCCACTCCTTTGTGTTTAAGCACGTTATTATCACCCCCCACCCCAACCAAGGGGGGTAAGTGGATGTGGTTTTGCATTTTGAACATCCCCTGCAAAACACGTGGGCACAAGTGGCCCGAATGAGGTGGGCACACGTGTCGGTTTTGCCCAAAGTATGTCCAATGTACATGACCAAACTTGCGACTTCAATTGCTCAGGCCTTTCCACTTCTGTGGCGAGAAGTATCTCTCAGGCCGACTTCGTGATTTCTTGAGGTCTTACCGCAACACGGCACATTTGCAACTGCCAGAGACAGGTTCCAAACACTCAGTGCACCTGTCATGTGCGAGCTCTGCCCGGAAGCCAACACAAAAAGTCCAGATTAACATCCGTTAGCCTAGAGTTTGGCGGACCTGGGTTGCAAGCATTTCGCGGGGAAGGTAGGTAGGTAGGGTAGATGTATGTGTATGCATATGTATGCAGGTGCATGTGTGTGTGTGTGTGTATGTGTGTGTGTGTGTATGTGTGCGCATGCAGGCATGCATGCCTTCGCCCCCCCTCCTCTCCCCTCTCACCTCTCTCCGCACCCCTCTCCCTTCTCTACTTGCCCTTCGGAGGAACAACGAGAAAGAGAGAGAGAGAGAGAGAGCATTAAAACAATGCGGGTGGGCCTGTGGCCCGGGGGTCTTGACCGACCNNCGACCCTCATGCCCGGGGGAGAGAGAGGGAGAGAGAGAGAGAGAAGCGCGGGCCAAAGGCCTGAGGGTCGAGAGATCGACCCCTAAGCCCTGCAGAAAGAAAGAAAGAGAAGCGCAGACGCACAGGGACGCCCGCAAGCAGTTAAACCGAGCCCAACCCGTACATGGTTGTGCGTGCGTCGCAGCTGTTGGCCCAGCTCATGCCAACCCTAGTCGGGGACCAAGTCTCCGTCGCGTCCGAGGCCATGAGCAACCTTGATGCATGGACACGGAGACTCTGGGACACCCCATACAGCTGGTGGATTCGGAGCCCACAGCGGAACCGGACACGGAAGACATGGAAACTGTCCCGTGGATCCCACCAGCACCAGAGGCCATCTGAAAACGCAGCTTGTTCTGATGAGTCAGAATGGAATTGAAAGGAAAAATGACGACCGTCTCTGCCCCGAGATCGGGTGACGCGATCAGTTTTAGAATAACGCCCGAAGGAGATGCGTACGCAGAGAGAGCTAGTGTCGTGAAGCCACTTGAAAGGAAAAGGGTTACGCGATATACCTGTAAGTGAGTTGCCCGGCCATTGCTGCAAGTACCCATATGTAACTGTATGTCCCCCCTCTCCCTTCTCCCCTCTCCACCCTCCCATCCCATCCCTCCCTCTGTGCGTCCGGTCGTCCTGAACCTTCTATGCTGCTCCCAATCACGGTGCGTTTTTTGGCAGGTACTTGGGTGAAGTTCAACAACAACGACGGTCCTTGGCTCGGCATTCTCAGGAACGGTTATTCAAGCCGGCTGAGGTCGGGGGTTGCGCATCTCAGAGTGCGCTCGCGCCAGTTGTTCAGCATTCGGAATGCCTCTCAGGATATGTCAGCGAGGACCTGAGCAAACACAGCGCCGTGGCACAGGTGGGAGGGTATCAGCACAGCCGCAAAGCCCTCACCACAAGCTGCAACAGGCTTACAGAATCTCGGGCTGTCAGGAAAGCTTTCGCGTGCTTGCAATTGAAGTAATGTTGCGCTCTGGTGATCGTTACGATTCAGTCATGATTGCAGTTGTTTGTGTCAGTCGCTATTGTTGTTGTGACCAGGGTTGGTAGTACCATTTGCCGCATGATGATAATGGTCTTGCGATATCTTGCGATGATGATTGCTGCAATCTGTTTCTATGTTGTCTTGTACTGAATACCTTGCCATGTAAGTTGCAACATTGCACGAAATATTATCCCACACCAGGTTCTTTCGAGTATGATGGTTGATATCAACACCCATGCCAGGACTATGTCTGCACTTAAGGTGCTTCTCGATCGGTATGAACAATAAAACGAGTCATCGAGTACCATTGCTACTGTCGCTGCTTCGTAGCTGCGCCTCCCGCCTGCTTTTGTTGCTACCACGGCCACTACACGGTGACCACTGCTGCCAATGCTCCAGCTCCCGCTCCCTCTCCCGCTCTCGCTGCTGCTCCGGTTGCGGCTCCTGCTCCTGCCACTCCTGGTTCCCCTGCTCGGCTGCTGCGCTGCTGCTGCGGCTACTGCTTCTGCTACTTCTACGCACACGGCCACTGCTACTGACTGCTAACGAGTGCCACGGTGCTACTGCCGCAGCTGTTGCGACCGCTACTGACTGCTACTAACTTCTCGTGACGGCTACTGACTGGTGCTGACTGCTACTACTGCTACTTTATTACATCCTACTACTATACTTACTGCTGCTGCTGCTGCTGCTTCTATTTGCAATGGCTTCTTCCATTGGAAAATTCACCACTTCGATGGTGAGAATGACGACTTACGACCAGAACGATGCAGACGACGCGGATGACGCCGAGCACGACGATGACAACGACGACGACGACGACTACTTCTGCCACTGCTGCTTCGCTGCTGCAGCAGCAGGAGGTACAGCGGTGTTAGAATGCGTGAATTAGCTAGTCAGCTTGCCGTGCACAAAGAACTTGACAGCCTGTCTTCAAGCAAGCCTGCCTGTGTCAGGCATTCTCGCACTTCACATTCGAGAGGCCGTTTGTCCAAGTAAATGTTAAGAAATTTAGATCAACTGGACACGCGGAGTAGCAATAATGTGGACGCCATTTGACATGTAGTGTCATCAACAAGTCGCCGGAATCCTGTAACAAGCTTTCTTGTCTCCAGCTTGCAGCTGGCCGCCTGTGTTTGCACCGTAGGAGCGGCCATAGGCTGATGGTCTGGGCCCCAAGAAGGGTGAAGATATGGCACAGGCTATCGGGCGTGTAGCAGAAGACGAAGACACAGATTCATTTCTCGGTGTTGTGCGAGTGAGAGCGGTTGGCTGCCTATAAAGACTCACTTGATTGCTTATGCAATGAGCGTTGGATGTTGGCAGCTTGTCCACTGTTGTGGTGTTGATATTAGAAGGAGATAGAAGGTCACCAAAGCGCGGTTGACCTCCGTTGAAAGCATCCTTTTACCAGAGTACTCCCAGGTTGTCGACCTGCAAGGCGTTTGCGAGGAAAGGAATTCCGAATTGGTTTTCAGGCTGACGGCCGGGATCCCAGCTTTGATAGTGGCATCCATCCGTTGCTGTTTCCACTCAGATCTGCGGATTCGTTTGAGCTGGTTCAGAGTTGCTTCTGCAGAAAGACATGCCCGGAAGTACACCTCTCTCCAGAACGAAGGCTAATCGTGTGGCCTTCAGTATACTCCCAGTTCTTTCCCTGGTGACATGGATGTACAGGGATGTGCTGGGATGCTTCTTGTCCGTTGAGCTCAGGATCCCCAAGTGCACAGCAGCAGGAAGTGGAAGCGGCCCAGGGCTAAGTGGCCACCGTGGCCGAACCGAGCTATGTGCGCTCTGTCATTCTCCGATGAGGCAAAGTGAAAGCTTCCCCGAGAGATTCGGGAAGGGCGACTTTGGCGCGCGACCCTCAGCTTCGGGGCTTGTCGCTGCAGCTTGGACCTGGAGAGGAAGACTGCAGCAGATCTGCAGCATGGGATGTCTTTCTGGTACGGTCCTCCACATCGACAGGTCATTCTACAGCATAGCAGGAAGATGTGTAGATCGCCGGATGATGCCTTGTGGTTATGGAAGATCTTCAAACAGATCTCGGTTTGACGCAGGGCGGGCAGCATCACTTTCTCGCCCCCGTGTGCATAAGGAAGATGGCTTTTCAGCGTTCTTCCAGAACTATGGTGCCGGGCCTTGTGCAGAATCAGTCTGAATGAGCAGTGACTGTCCGGGTGGTCATGGCTAAGCTAATTCTGCTGCTGTGCTTGCTAAGTCTACAACAAGTTGAGCAAGGAGCCGCGGGGCATCAGAGCGAAAGCAGCATAGCAGGTCTCCGAGTGGACAAAGCTGTGCAGGAAATGCCCTTCGTGAGTAGCACCCCCCAGACTATGTGCGACAAGCCCTGTGAGAGTGGGGGGCATTGACAACATCAAGTGAGATTTTTCTTCTCCAGCTGTGCCCCGACGCCGGGACAACAGTGTCAAGAGTCAAGCTGACATGCTTGCAATGCCTGTGCCGGTGTAGGACTTGGGCCTTCGAGACGAACTCGATGTTCGAGAGCCGCATTCCCAGAATCCGCGGAGTTAAACCACAGCCGTCAGAGCCAGAGCTCTTTGCCGCTTTGCCACTGCTTCATGCCATGCTGAGGCCAACTGAAACTGCCTACATCCCTGCCGTTCGAGAGTACTTCGAAGAGTTCAAGACTTGGCTCAGCCACGCGAGGCACGGCCCACTGCAAAGTCGCTGCGATCTTGGGGGTGGTTGCAGGATTGCGCTCAAGACAAGATTGCAAAGAGTCTCGGATTTCAGCTCCCATCGAAGCAGGGAGCAGTTGGAATGGGACTTGAACGAGTACTGCGGCCCGCAAGAGTTCTATGACAATGCCTATTGGCCCAGCACTCGGTCGGTCGCTTTCCATCTCGGGTGTCTGTCCAAGGGAATGGGGGTTTTCCGGTCGTGGCTGCGTGGTAGTATCAGCAAGCCCTGTGTATCCTTCTAGTTCTTGGTGTGCATGACTACAGCAAGAACGGCCCTGGGATGGCGACCAACCTTGTTTACAACACTCTGCTGTCTCATGGCCCATTCCAGCTTGTTCAAAGCAGAAGCTCGATTCTTCGGCAGTTTCCTCAGTCTTCGCGGGAACTTAGGTTCCCAGTGAAAATCTGGGCAAAGAAGACCAATGCGCAGAAAGCTCTACAAGACATCCAGGACAAGGTTGAGGTGCTGGTGTTGTTGTTGCATCGCTTACTTCGTCTGTTCTGAAATGTTGAAACAGGTTTTCAAGTATTCTTTTTGTATGATGATGCCCATGTGCGCAGGCAGTGCTGGCAAAAAGGTTGAGAAAGCTGCCAGTCGCCGCTGTGCTGAAAGACTGTGACGGATGCATTGGTAGTTGTAGAGCGTCGGACGTACTGACGGATGGAATTTGGTTTTCATTGGCAACTAACCCTGAAGCACCCTTGCTTCAGATTAGTGATTAATGTAGAGTGATTCTTCATCAACAGACGGCTCCGAATCACTTTACAAAACAATGTGCATGCAAATTCAAACTGTCCCTGTCCGACTGCACAATCCCAGTACTCTAGTCTCATGCAAGCAGTTTCGGAGCTTGAGCGACTTACATGAACGAACAGTAGAACGCAGGTGCTTGGGTAATCTACAACTGCTTTTCGATCTGCACAGTTGAGATCTTTTTTCATTGCCTCGCGGACCAAGCACGAGGCAGCCATAAAGTAAGCTCGAAGACAAGCGCAAACGATTGGCTTGAATCCGTGGCCAAAACTCACATGAAGCAGTTTTGGCAGCGTTGATTGGATTGGTTGCAGGCTTGAGGTGGTTCGTGTTTCTAACGACATACGAAGAGCTCGTGCAGCTTTCCTGCTGCATGTGTTGAATAAACAGTATCTTTGATCTTTTCTTCTTTCTGGTATGTGTTCACTCCGCGGCTCGAGGGGTGGCATATTGCGGGAGATTTTGCAATTAGCCTTAGTTCCGGCACCAAGCACTAAACTCAAGAAACATGAAAAGCGTTAGAGCCACGTGTACGACTCCTACCTTCCTACACAGAAACGGAAAGTCAGGCCCAAACGGGAGACGAGGATGGCTCCAAGTGGGAGGACCGCTTTGCATGCCGTCGGTGGGAACTGCCAGCATGCAGAACACATGTTGGCGCGTTTGATCGGGACTATGCAAGAGGCTTGCTGGGTCATGCTGGGGAAATCACATCGCCATAAGGTTGAGATGGGGGAAAGGTTCAGAGATAGTTGGCCGGCCATGCATGGCCCCCCGTTCATTTTGCAGTGAAGGAATCAGGACAGCAGCAGTTTGCGTTTCTGGTTTCATCTTTAGGAGAAGATGTCCGAGTGGCGCCAGCGGTTTGCCGCGACAACTTTGCCGTGGCCTCCAGGCACTGGCTGGCACGACGTCCATGCTGGTGTGCATCCAGCACTTCTTGTGCAGGCTTTCCGCGAAGTCCGTTGAAAGAGGTTTGGGTGGTTGCTGACGAGGCGGCTGAGCCAGGAACTGAGGCTTTCACAGAGGCGCTGCTTGCCAATCCTCTTGCATTAAGACTTGGTTTACATATGGTCGCTGCTGTAGGGTGCCCCTCTGCTGACACGGTCTTTAATACTCGAATTTATGCTCAACCCAGGTTTGTTAAAAAGCTGACAAGGCAGTCCTCTTTGAACTCCCTTATTGGGGGGGGTGCCGCGGGGCTCGCAGGTGCTACCCTACTCAAACAACACTGTGTTCAGTACAAGTTCTCTTTCAGCGCTGGATGCTGGATAGCTGAGGCAAGAAGACATCACTGCTTTGCATGAGGAGATAGAGCAGGCCCTTCCCATCATGTTGCAACTCCACCGCTCCCAAGAATCCAGACCGGCTGCCAGGGCTGTGCTTTGATCGATCCACAGGGAGTAGCCGTAGCGACTCCACAACCCCAAAGCTCAGGACGGCCTTCGGTTTCGTGATGTTTCATTCTCGTTAGTGGCTGCCAGTCCCAGGTGCTTGTCAAATGAGGATCCATAGCAGTTGGGACTGCAGCTTGCAACCGTACTCGTAGGTTTGGAATGCAGTCTCTGTGTCGCCGCAGGCATTGGCTGAGGTGGGTACTGCCGTTCAGTCGCTATGACACGATGCAGTCAACAGCGCAAGCATGACCGGCAGAGTGGTGCAAGGCTGTGCAAGTCGGAATGTACACCTCGCAGGTGTCCGGCTCTGCGGCCGTTGACGAAGCCTCTGCTTGGCAGAAGTGCACCTTATCTGAACGGTAAAACGTTCGTGTGCGATTCTGTACGTGTCATGACTACATCGCGACCCGAATGTGAAGGAGGAGTGAGACGAGCCTGTGTGTTTTCACTGTGTGGAGACGGTTGGTTGATGCGAGGAAATGCATAGCCACGCCAGCTTTTGTTGGCGCAGCACGAAATACATAAACATGAGCAAATACATTAACAAATAAATAATTCAATATATATATATATACATATATATATATATACATACATACATACATACATGCATATATACATAGGTGTATGCATGTATGTATATATACATAGGGGCGAAAATCATAGTTACAAGACCCAGGCGGACCTTGCAAGGCATAGGCATAAGATTCGGCACTCCACCTAAGCACCTCCTGCCAGGAGGAAGGTGGCTTGCAATGTCAGCAGCGAGAAAACCCAGACATGTACTAACTACCTTCGGAGGCTCCCTGGGACGGAAAAACTGGCGAAGTGCTAATGCCTGGGTTATGACGCCTAATCCTTCGACGGGGGAACGCATGCGGACGACGCCTTGTTTATGCCAGCCTCATCTGATAGATTGCTAGGCCTTTTGTGGTTCTCGTTCACATTTTTGCTGCCTGCAGCATATTCCGGAAGTGGCCTCGCAAAGTATTGTCAGCAAGAGCAAGCAAACCCATGGACACATGATTGCAACAACACTCTAAAGTGCATGCATGCAAATGCTGCGGGGGTCGCTTGTCGACAGCTTGAGGATCCCCTTGCCAGTTTGTTTGCAGAGGTGGGCGTGAGTGTTTTTCGGGACCCCGTACCCACACCAGCATGGGCACCCGCAACCAGACAAGGAAACTCTTCTATACCCTGACTTGAATGGTTTCGGCGGTACCTCAAGCAAAATGCCACACCAATGATACCGATGATTCCGGCTTCTTGGCCGGCATGCGCAGCATCATTAGCTGAGTTGTTCGCTTTTGCAGTTAGGGCGGGTGCGATGCAGGGCCATGTGTTTGCACGGGCGTGTGAGATTCGGCGATCGAGGCAGACGGCCTCATATGCGACAAAACAAAAAAACGGTCGTGATATCTCTGTATTCTCTGTATTCTCGCACACGCATATCGTGCCCAGGGTTCGACGAGGAGCACAAGGATTGGTACTTCTGGTGAGAGGCCCAGCCGTCTGGACAGAATGCCAAGCTGCGGCGAGTGAAGCCGTGATGTCATGTTGATGCCTTGAACCAGAGTACTTAAGAACTGCCGAATAGACAACCTGCAAGTTGCCGCAGTCCCCTACCGAAACTGGGCAAGCAGCTGCTTCCAAGGAACGTGGTTTCATACGATGCTTTCTGGCCACAGGAAGGTCATTCGGGTGACTGGAGTTGCAGCGAGCTGAGAACCTCTTGCTCGACAATGGAGCGTGTACGGTCATGAACCAGAATGACCACAATAACTCTCCTTTTGTTTTGTGATGCAGCAACACAACAAGCCGTCATTCGGCAAGACCGTGAGACGGTGGTTCCGACTCTCGAGCTACCTTTCATCCGACCCCGAGGGCACATAGTGGGAGGCAATCGAAAAGAGCTGGGAACCCAGAGCTTTTCGCAGGTTGTTTTCGGTGTTGCTGTCGCGATTGAATGTTCTAAGCCAGACTTTCGAGAACCTGAGACACGTTTTGCTCCGGCTGTCAACTCTGACTCAACTCGACCGTGGCATGGTCAACGCCAGGGGCAGCAGGCCAAACAGAGTCTTTACCAAGACCAGTGTAAGGCAATGGCTGCAAGCACTGTACTGCTGCAAGTGGCTGAATTATAGCTCTGGTTCCGGAAACATCGAGCAAGCTAGCCAAGGTGGGTAAACAAGACCTCAGGCAAGTCCTTCTTCGAGGCCAGCCTTATTCGTGCCATGCTCTCCGGTTGTACCTGTGGGTTGTGTTTTCTGGGCATAGTTACTTCACAGGTTGGAGTGGAGCGAGAGACGGAACGGAGCATTGGAGGGTTCTTGCAGGGCTGAACAGAACAGCACGTGGACGACAACTGCTTTGTCGAATATATTGCCCCAACACCAACCCAAATGTGTGGCGGCAGCAGCCGTAAAACGGTGTTTTCGCTTTCTTGCAACATACCAAGTAACCAAGTAACAACTGCAGGGTTTGACGTCGGCTTGGGCTACACTCTGCAATGACGCAAGTGAACATGTCAAGCGTTTCTGCTCTATGATCATCTGTGAGTATTCACAAGTAGGAAAACCAAATTCGCATGTGTGTCACATGCTAGAACTCTACGTGCATATACAACACTTCAGCAGGCAATGCAGATGTAGCGCATGCAAGAGAAGCTCATGCACATACGCAATAATTTGTGTACACGGTGCGCAGGCATGTATACATATGTGCATAGATCAGAAGCACGTGTATAGCACGTATGTATGTGCGTATGTACATAGGTATGTACGTACGTATATATGTATGGACGCATGTATGCAGGTATGCATACATCCATGTATCTATGTATGTTTGTCTGCCACAGGTCTCAGCATCCGAAACCCGCGAATCTCTGGGCCTTCTAACGGAGCATAAACACTACATGTTTAGGGTGTTCTCTGCGCATTTGCCGTGCTATTCTCGTTGTGGCTGAATTTTGGTAGCATCTCGAAGGATGTTTGTTCTGTAGTTCTTGGTAGTTCTTGGACATGAGCTTCTAGTCGGACCGAACCTGGGCAGAAAAGCCGCTGACACGTCTGACTCGGGACATTCACAGCGGCGGCCACGTTGTGCCAGTTGCCAGTATCGGAGTTGGAGCCTTGGCAGATCTGAAGGACGCTGCGGTGGACAAGCGACCGGTGAACAAGCAGAGCTGACTCCAAACTGGCGCGGCTTCTTTGCATGTGAAACTTAGGTATCGGTGATGCTATCGCCGTAGAGCCCGAGAGCACAAACAAGTGCTTTTATGTGCTCCCTGCTGCATAAGCTGGCTGCGGTGAGCGGAAAACTTGTGCTCTGTCGGATGCCGAGTTCAGGGTCGGCAAATCGTAAACGAGGCTGCGGCCTTGGCGGCATGTAGGTTGAGGATGGTTGAGGTTTGAATGTGGAGGGCTGTGAGGCGGCAAGGCGGCAAG